GAAAAACCCAAAACTCGCGCTTCTTCCATCATCTCCACTCATCTCCCTTTCTTGTCTCACGAAAAAACCTCGAGTGATTCTCATTCACGCGACACGGATTCATCGAGCACGAGCCAGTTGGTGCAGAATAGCATGGCAAGAAAAAAAGAAAAAAAAAAAGAAAGGAAAAAACACGGAAAACATAGGAAAAACAAGGGGAAGAGGGGTTGGGGGTGTGTCTCCGTGCGAGTGCACCAGCTGCATCTGTCGTTGACCCAGTGGCCGAGTTTCCCGTTTATCGGTCGACCTGGCGCAGTTGCGGCTGACTTTAAAGCCGTCGACTTCTCCGGAGATTTGAGCTCCGCCCGAACCATACACAACCTCTTCCACCAGATATTCCACGATTTCTGGCCGGGAATTAGCGGTAACAAGGATAATCCAATGGATAGAGATCGATATCGGAATTGAACTTGGGAGATGCTGCTGCTCTCTTCGACTATCGATTTGAAACTTTTTGAAATTAGAAGAAGAAGAAATTGAATTAATTATATATATATATATTTTTTTTTAAGATAGACAGAACTTTTATTTATGAAATACGAATTTTCAATTTTTATTTATTAACGATCCTAATCGAACTGTGAGTTATCTTCAAAAATAACCTCGAAGAACGATCGATAAATGGGTGGTTAAATTTATATATCCTATCTCACAGAGGGATCTCTCCTCCCCTGCATCTTGATTGTTTCCGGTTCTCGGCTTTATTGGTTCGATACACTTTGAACACTCGGTGATGGAACGTGGAGTCGTGGGTGTAAATTGGAGTTTGGAGGCACCTGGGGGGAAGCGTGATTAGCAAAGATCCCTTTTGGGAAATATTGCATACGAGAGGGCGAAAGATTTTTGACGAGAGAAAGATGCGAAAAAGGCGACGAGCGTTGGAATTTGGCGCGAGTGTTTACCGCGTTTTTCGAGAATATTCGTGAATGGGGCGAACGTTTGAGGCTAGGAAAGAAGATTGCGCGAGACGCCCGCAAAGTTCCGGATGATTAATTAGCCCGGCCTTTCACGGGATTTTATTAAAGTTGAAGTCTTCGCGAGCGAATATTGAAATTCAGAATTAACTCTTAATCCCCTCTTCGAGATTTCGAATATAAATATAAATGTTTCAACGAAGCAGTAGATATTACAAAACTGAAAAAAGAAGATATCTTTTAATTCTCGACTTTCAAGAATTCTTTCGCGAATACGAAATTTCGTCGATATAAAAAAAAATATGAAATAAAACAAAACTTCATCAACACCGCCAGAAATAAATATTCGAGGGATGGGTTTTCCCGATTTCGTTTCCTCTCCTTCCAACAATCATTTCACGTTATAAAGCTTGAACTCTGTTCCCGGATGCACTTTATGGAAATGGAAATTCCTCTCCATCCGAGCTGGTGAGGTGCGCGACGGTGCGGATACACCGGAAGCGTCGCTCAACCGGGGAAACGAGCGTACCAGCTTTAATTCGACGTGTCGCTGGGAAACTCGCGTTGAAAATGTATCACCTTGGAATCTCGTCACAATGCGATCTCGCGTACGCTTTCAACGAATCGCGTTTATTATTGTTCCTCGATCGGGCCACAAATTAAATAGAATCGTTTCGCTCGAATAAATTGTGCGTAAATTGTTGTTCCTACTTTTCTGGTCATTCTCAAGATATCAAAAGTACTATTTTTGCCATTTTTTCTTTTTTTTTTTTTAACTAACCTCTCTCCCTCTCTTTTTCAAGATGAATCATAGATGAAAGAAATTTGGTCTGTTTGAGTGTACATTTATCGTGTGTCCAATTTTCACTCCAAAATGCTAAAATAAAAATTAATCGTGAGAACTTTATTTTTCATTCGATCGGATGCAGATCAATGTAGAACGGAATAGGTAAACATGTTGAATCACGAGATACGATTAATTCGTGGATAAATAAAACGTGGATGAAACGGTTTTGACCGAAGAAATAGAGGAGAAGAGGGTGAGATTGGATTCACAGTCGGGTAAATACCGTGGAACAACAAGTAGATTCCGACCGCTTGTGTTCAGACAAGCGTAAGATTGTCGTGGCGAATGGGCAAATGGATAAGAAGGAAGTCACGCGTCGTCGGTTAAATAGAACGTGACCGTTCCGTGTGCAAACAGCGAAATCTTGTACAATCTGGCAACACCGACACGTCCGATCAACATTGCGTTCCCGAAACCGCAAAAACGCGCAATGTCAGTGGAACGAACCTGCGTACGGTCAGACGGTTCGCAAACTACTCGAAATGATCTTTAAATATCACTTGTGTATACGTGTGTATATATATATATTTTGGAAAATTTTTCAGAAAAGTAAGACAAACGTATCGTACAAGACAATTTCACAAAACATCCCATTCTGGGGACAAAATTGTGAAATTGAAATTTCTCTCATCTCGAGGCCGTTTGTTCGAGAATTCACGAGGCGAGCAATCAGCGGCGAGCAATCGTACGCGTTTAATCCCGCGACAGAATAGCCGGAAAGTTTACAATCCGGGCAAGTTTCATCGCGGTTGAATTGGAGCAAGGACGGCCGCGCGAACATCTGTGTTTCTTTCTGATAGAAGGGGACGGAAAAAAGAGAGAGAGAGAAATTCGCGGCAATTGTATCGCGGATATCGTGCCACACTTCATGCGCGATACCGCCGCGGCTTCATCCCACTTCCGGAATTTCAACTTCCTCGTTCCACTGGAATCGTCGCCTCCGGCGTGGGAGGGGCGAAATTTCCATTCCACGGAAAATACAAAAAAGAAAAAAAAAAATGGAAGTAAACTATCTTGCAGAAACGTATCTCTATGAAACTTAATACACGTGCATTAACGTTCTTTATAATGACCACGTTTATATAACGTTTACGTTGCTCTCCTGCTTATTTTTATTTTCCATTTCCATTATGGATAAACGTATGGAACGCGTGTCCATATCCTTATACGATATGTATATCCTCGACAAATTTGACGAAAAACCAACCAACCCCAGACATCCGATTAACGAGTATCCAATTTGGCTAACGCGTGCCGATCCTTTGCTCGAGTGGCAAGCCTCCTTTCGCAAAAAAAAAAAAAAAAAAGTGTTTTCTCAGAAGGAGCAACGGCGAAGGGATTCTTTCACGAAGATCGAAGGAAAGATCGCTGCTCGCTTCGGATTCGAGGCCGTCGAAATAAGACGAGCCCCGCTCGGCGAGCGAGGGAAACGAACGAACGAAGCTTGGCAAAGTAGGTTGCGCCGGGGGGGGGGAGGGGATGTGAATCCAGCGGATTCAATGGCCGCACACTTCCCCTCCCTCGATAGAAGTGGACGGTCTCATGTCAGTGGCCCGAGCTGGTGCACCGTCATCCTGGGCTCGCACCTTTCGTCCTAGTTTCTCCGTTCTTACCCCCATTCCTGCCACCCTTTCGTTCCGCTTCATCCCCTTCCTTCTCCACTTTCTTTTCCATCCAGCCTCGTGGATGGAATCTCCTCTGGCAGGAGTCCTCCTCCTCCTCCTCCTCCTCCTCCTCCCCCTGTGCATTTGTTGTCCAACCTCAACGGAGCTCTGTCCAACCGAGTGCACTGTCCAACGGAGTGCAAGTTTCCGTGATGGCGGTTACCCTTGTTGGCTCGAATGTGGAAAATGGAAGAAATTCAAATTTCCCCATGCTCGAGGATTTTTCTTACGTTCTTTTACGCGATTTTATTTCCTCCATGGGAAGGAGAATTGTTACGATTCGTTCGTAAAATCGAAGAAGAGGTCTTTTGTTGATATCTTTCTTTCCTCTCCTCTCATTTTCGACGCCTCTGTCCCTTCGTTTTGTTCGCCTCCTCCTCCTCCTCCTCCTCGTGAGGAAGTTTCATTTTCGACGCCTCTGTCCCTTCGTTTTGTTCTCCTCCTCCTTCTCCTCCTCCTCTTGAGGAAGTTTCAGAAAAGTTTCAGGCCAAGAACATTGGGACATTGTCTCGAAGGGATAACGAACATCTTCGTGCGTCCTTTCGCGCGAGAAGTTTGGCCCGCCATTTTGGGCGGTGTCTTTTCAACCAAGAGTTTGG